GAAGCAATCGATAACAGTTGTGAAAAAAGCGTCAATCTATCCACCACTAACCCATCATTGTCTTTATTTATTGGGTTTCTAATCCTAACGAAAGTGGACCATAATAACAGGGTTTTTAAAGGAGACTGGGTAATCTAGCATGAATAATCTCCTTATAAAAAAATTTGCCAGTTACAAGGTGTGATAAAGTTTGGCCATGTGTTGGATATTTGTAACTTAAAATGGCCTTAGATCATTTTGAGCAGGGCCACAATAGTCTACTGGAAAAATCAAATGGCGACCGTGTTGTGATATATATACTTGGATTTCTTACAATAACTTGATAACTACTAGCGCTAGGGTACACGAATAAAAATAAATTTGAAAAAATTATCTACAACTTTGCGCCTCATTTTTTCAGTAACAAGTCAGTATGTGTACGAGCGAGAAGCGTGTAATAAAAGAAATAGAAGTACCTCGTTGACTAACAACCCGAGACGAGGTCACAGATGCATCGGCGCACTCTTTCTTCTCTTTCTCTTTGGCATGCGAGTTTAACCCTGTAGCACCCGAAATCTTTCCAGAAGGTTCACAAGTCTAGTTAGAGTCACTCAGCTCGACGACCCTTAAACCTGTTTATGTTATAGTTTCCATTCCTCCCCTGGGCACTAGATCCAAGGATAAACTTTCATATATGTTGACGCAGGCGGATATAAAGGTCGCATGTAGATAATTACAGTATCGCATGCTATTGGGTGTAGTGTTTTTTTTTTTTTTTGTTACCTGAAAGGTGAGCAATCACTGAGGATTTCCTTTATTCTGCTGTACTGCATGGATTTATGACCATAATACTTTTATGTTCATGATGGTGAATGTCGTAAGCCATATTTCTTAAGATGATTTGATCATATATCTATATTTCTATTAATGGCTTACGGGCTCAATAATTGCGGATAAGGATACTCGCAGTTAAGTTAACTGGCTCATACAGCTGTGACGCCTCCAGTCTCTGGGGGTTGTTATGGGACTTTCGGAGCCCGATTGATGGGTTCAGGTGGTTATGTTGATTACCCTCTATCATGGGAAATGCGCTTGGGATGTTGACAGTTAGGCTTTTGGCCGATGTGGCATCCTAGGTCTGAATGACCGCGTAACTATCCTCTCTTGGCAATCGCTGGAGTCTGAATGTATCTCATGGCAGGATATATGTAGCAATGTTTACTTTAAAGATTGTCGTGTTGCTCGGTTATCTCTGATTAAGAGGTACCGTCTGAGACTTTGGATACTGACACGGCAATGTGATATCCTGGATCCTGGACTGCTTTTTGTAACAATCAAACTTAGCATACCTGAACATACACCTGGGTATCAACATAGGCCGCTGTGTGCTTAAATCCTATGTTGAACACTTAGGGTGATGTGTGGTTAAATCTCCTAAGTGAAGGACTGTGTGTCCTAGAGAGACTGTGTGTACGAAGGACTGTGTCTCCTAGGGGGCTGTGTGCCCCCGCTCAAATATGTGATAAATCATAAATAAATAATGATGAATTGGTACCACTGCGGATAATTAACGTAATCCTAAGGTAGTAGAATTGTGCGTGTTATGAGTCGGTTGAATATGGGAGGTACTCAAATCATTTTTCTAAAAATAGGTATTGGCCCTGACAATTCGATCATATCGCCCTTATCACTTGCCAAAGGAAGATAACTCGTTGTCGCTCTGACACGAAGTAAGTGGCTTTAATATTATCCTGATATTGTTGCCCATATCGAATTGGTTAAGTACTGCCCGTGTAATAAAAACAAAATGGTACAGGATGGTACTTCGAAACCTTCGAAGATGGGTTTGATGTTTTCACGTTTATCGTTATATTATATACGTATTATTATCATCTCGTTCGTATCCTATATATGCACCCCTCAAAGCTCCTTACGATTTTAAAAGAGTTGGATTAAAAATCACGCAATCTATGAATCGCAGCAAACAACAACGTTTTCCCCTGGTTCTGGAAAAAAATGTTATAAACCCGCAGTGTTATTGTAAGTTATTTTGTTATGCTTCAAGGCAATGAGTCATCATCACCTGCAGCTAATCATTGTAACCCTTCAAACGAAAACAATTTCCATCGTGAGTTATTTATCAAATTAAAAGTATAGTTCTGAAAAGGAATCAGTTTGATAATATATGAAACATCCTAGGAAAAACATTTACACGCTTTCTTTATTCCGTTTGTATCTATCTGTCCGAATTTGACGTAGTTCTTTAGCCGGCATACCTTTATATTGTCTTTTATATTCTAAACCATCTAATACTCGCTAAAGACAATTTTGAACAAAGTTGTAAATAAGTTTGTAGAGATTTTTTTTAATCCTATAGACATTTGCGCTAACGCTAATACCAATTCTCCAGTTATTGCATTTTTGGTAGACCAATTATTGTACCTCTCTCAAAGACATTTGAGGCCATCCTAAGGAACAGATGACCAATTCCACGCATCAAGGATTGACACAATCACACATTTTTTTCACAAATTTTCTGACACACCGGTTAGAAATGGCAAGAGATACAGAAATAATTTTATATGCGATAAATTAAGCACACTTTTTAAACAAGTAGTAGTTTAATCGTATTTTTCAGTGTGAAAATTTGTGAAAGTAGATCTCACCTACTGACAAAAATGGAAACTCGAAAAACAATAGAAATACAAAAAAGATACCTTGATTTTGTAACTGCTTGGAAGGTGGTACTTAAAACAAAATGACTCTCTGCATCCGTTTTTCTGCACAAATCATAGCCCATCAACCTTGTGCTCAAGAGAAGTACATACTTGATTGCAAACACATTTTTATGTGACATAGAGTATTTATGTAAAGTTGACCAGATTTTTTTACTGGAATACAGAATTAACTAAACTTTTGTATAATTCAAACACCTTGACAGTCCGGATTGAGCTTGTAATATCTCAAGAGGGGATGTCGGTGCCACCCCCAAAAAGATGCATAGACTCCCAAAAGCTGTATCAGTGGATTGTTCCTACTTATCTATCCATTGAATGCCAGTAGTCCATCGTTTAAATATAGGTTTTGCTGGCTTCAACAAAAACAAAAATTTAACCAAATCATTTTTATTTCTTTCTGACTTTATTAAGAAATATCAAAAAACTAATGAAACTCCAACTTTTGGTCAGAAAAAGTAGTCGTTGCAAATAAATGCTTGACTTAACGTAAATACCTGTAGCGTGTATTGTTATTATTGTGTATTGTTAATATTGCTTTATTATCGTCAAAGATATCGGCGGAAATTAAGAAAAGTTCAATATGCTGATGTGCTGTATTTTGTGCTTCAAAAATACTAAGAATACTGCAGAAATATATCTTGATAAAGATCTTAAAAAAGAAGACAACAAAGTAAGTCCATTTTCTTAGAGTTGCCTCGAAATTTCAGTTATGATTCATTCAAAAGTGCTTTTCAAGTAGTTGCTGAGAGCTCTGACATAGCAACTTGACAAATCGAGAAAAATGTACTAGTAGCAAAATTCACAGCACTAATTTATTTTGCGCAAAAATAGATATCACCTTCATGAATTCAAGGACTTCGACTAGCGAATAGCGAACGGTGCCAGCATTTTGTGAGTGGTACACACGAACGTGTGAAGAAGATTTTAATTTCCCTTCAAAAATAATATGGTCCGACGAGAGTAGGGTGACTAAAAATGCTATATTTAATCGCCACAACCCTCATTACTGGGCTCAAGAAAACCAGCGGGCTAAAAAAGGTATCCCGACATCAAGAAGGTTTTGGGTTTGATATGTGGTGTTGAATTCTAGGGACCAAAGTATTAAGCCAATTTAGTTACCACAACTCATTGACTGCGGAACGGTACCCTGCATTGTTGCCTGATGATCTAGAAGACTGACTGGATAATTTACCTTTGGCTCAGGTTAGTAGATGTTGGTTTCAATAGGCTCTAGGCAAGTTCGAGAGTATCTTCCACAGCGATTTTCCGGAAGGGGCATTGAAACCTCCAGTGCAGTGTCCTGGCCATCGCGTTCCCCGGATTTAACTCCTTGGGGACTTATGGTGTTATTAAAAACCAAGTTTATCATCATACCTTTGAAACTTAGCAGCAGCAAGGAGAATATGTAATAGACGCATTTTGTATGATTACACCAGAAATCTTACCGCGATATTTTAAATTCTACTGATAGAAGATCATATTTATGTTTAGAAAATAATCGCAACCTATTTGAATACCTATTGTGAAAAAAATTTATTAAAAATAATGTTAAAAATGTATTCATTATTCTGAATGTCCCTAGATTAAGCATAATTTCATCATACTTCCTAGGTCCTGTGTAGCGATACAGAGGACTAACTGTGTGTGCAGTAAAATCACATAAAACAATGAAAACGAATATTTTGATGGCTTTCTCCTTTTAAATGCTCCATACAGCGGCCACTGGCACTCTTTGTATCAGTGGTGTGCTATAGGTACGTCAAGTACGGAAAACGACGTTTTGGAGAACTTGAGTCAAAGGAAGTTGGAGGACATCTTAAACCATATTCTGATGACATCTTACAAAAAAATTCTGAAATGGTCCTGTCATTATAAAATGTCACGCCCGTGTTAGAGTTTTCTTGCATCTACAAGTCTCGCTTGGGTTTTTATAAAAATGAAATATATAATTCGTGGCTGACCGCAGGCGAAGTTATTTTACAAACCTCCTTTGCCACCTATCAGATTCGCCTGACGCGTTGTTTAGAAATGTCAAAGTCAGAACACTCAGGATTATCCAGTCATATATGAATCTAATTGGACTGCATTAACAGGAACTCGAAGGCATAATCCCGTAAACTATAACTAGGATCGGCAACCTTGCATTTTTGATTGCCATATGAACATGAACCTTTGTCTTAATACCCGTCCCCCCCAAATCCTTCTTTTTCGTCACAAAACCGTTATAGTTTGAAATGATATAAATACGACAACCAACGCCGGCCATGATGCATTTAGTGGAAAGTTTTGTGATGTGAGTGGTGGTTGTTCAATTTTAATAATTTTTTAGTAATTTTAACATTTTATCAAGTGATTTTAATTGCCATATTTCGTATTTTGATCAGTTTTATTATACACATTTTGAATCATGCGTCCCATAAGTGAAATTGAAGAAAATCTGCATCGGCTAACGTTGAGAGGAGCACCACCCAATTTTAGGGAACATCACAACAGCAGCGCTAATTTAGCAAAAAGGTTGCTAGAGTTGACCAAATATAATGGATACGAAATCATTCAAACAAACGGGCAAAGGGTGTATGCTCCCCCTGCCTCGCGAAACATCTCTGTACCTCCAAGGGGATGTGAAATCTTTATAGGCAGGCTCGGTAAAGATTTATATGAAGATGAGTTAGTGCCAGTCTTGGAAAGAGTCGGACCTCTTTACAAACTCAGGTGAGTGTTTCGGTATTTCCCAGATATTCATAGAAATCAAGTGAGCTTTGCGCTTTGGAACAAATGACAATAAAAAACCTGTCGCCACAGCCATCTTGACTGTCATCCCAAATCACTTTAGGAACTTGCTGCTTGGTGGTCAGGGCCGAACTCAGTATATGTAATGTACGTGATTTCAACTTTGATTTACACTAAATCACTTTCAATGGTCAAAAGATTTTTTGCGCTGGACAATATTTTCTTTAGTTTTTTTTTGAGCCATTTTGAACAAAAATGGTTCCTAAAAACTTTACTGTAAAATTCGTTCATTGTCAATCCCAGAAATCAATATGAAAGAACAAAAATTTGAATGTTGTACATAGCTCCCAAATACATCCATTAAAACAATTCTTTAAATGTTTGTCCCATTTTTGGGCCTGGAAACATGCAGGTTCACTAAAAGAAGTGCCTTTATGAATATATAGCACAGTACAATGTTTTAATCTAAAATTAAATAACCTCTTCCATAGGCTCATGCTGGATTTTACTGAAAAGACCAGAGGTTATGCTTTTGCAACATATTTCTCCATTGCTCATGTAAATCAAGCCATTGCTAAGTTGCACAACTATGAAATCCGTCCTGGCTTACATATTGCTGTTTATAAATCTGTGGACAACTGTCGTCTTTTTATAGGTAAGGTATATTTATTAATAAATTACATGTTTTTTGTTTATATTAAGTATTTATAAAAAGTCATAATGGAAAATAAGAACTTGTGGAAGTGTCATTGCCTAGGCTTAATTTCAAATTTTATTCTTTCTTGTAAGGCATAACAGTTGCAGTGAAACTTTGTTATCAGAATTTCTTATTTGTGGTTGGAATGCCTTAATCAATGTCTGTAGTGATATAAGCTAAGATGATACTACTATCTTCTTTAGATCCCACTCAGCCCTGAAAATTGCTCATATTTTCAGTTGATTGTATCTGTGAAGGTTTCACATTTTAAAATTTTAGAATATACCTACAATGTATGTATGTGTTTTAAACTTGCATCAATATTTTTTTCTATTTTAGAACTTGAGTATTAACTTTTTTCTGCAAGATTGACCCATCTATACCCCTATTCCTATTATAGTCCACTTAGGACCAGACAAAAACCACATGCCCAAAAGCGAGATTGTACAGGTCCGTATTTTCCTCACTGGTCGTGGAATAATCCAACAAAATAAATGATTATTTTTATAGGCAGAAGTGCACATACTCTTCACAATTCTTTCGTCCTTCATTCAGAATGATTAATATTAATTATTACAGGTTCAATTTGAATATCGATCATATTTTCCAGATCCCACATCTTTGTTTTGTCTCTTGAATGTGGCATATGCAATATTTCCAATGGTTTGCCATCACTCTGTTGACAGCTTCATAAAACAAATTTTTCAAGTCAGAAAATTTGAATGTTCTGTTGTTTGAAGCCACATAATTTTTTACATTTGCCCAAACTTTCAATGGGATTTAATTTGTGGTGATGAGAGGGTAGCTTTAAAATGGTCTTATTTTGGTTTTTAGCCATTTCGTCCATAACATTAAGATTATATTCATATTTGTGCTGCCTAACTAGATGGATAAGTTCTACTTTGACCTTATTTTCATTGAAACTCTCTTTTGATATGAGCCATTGATGAAATTCTACCTTTCTTGTGGACATTGTGGCATTTTTTTCTAGTTTTCTAGTGTGGTATGTGTGGTATTATCAATTACAATGACGGCATTGTCGTCAAGCTTTGGGAGCGTTTCTTCAAACCATCATTCAAATGAATACACATATTTCGATAAAATTAATGTGGGCACACATGTTGCAAATACTTCCTACTTCAAACTTATAATGAAACATGGATGCTGCTTCACACAACATATAAAAATGAAAGTATGTATTGTGGCGTTAAGCTTACAATGAAAATCAGTTATTTATCTGGAATAAGATTAAGATAAAAAAATATTTTAGATTTGGGAAAAATAGTGCAGGGTGGTCAAAAAATATTGGAAATTAGATGATAGAAAATCAAAAAAGTCAAATGAAGAACACCTGTTTATAACCTTATCATATTAGGCATTGAAGATACGGTTAATTTTTGTATGAGGTCTATTTCGCAAATTAGTAGTTTTTGTGGCTTTTACCAGGAAATATTCTCAATTACTAATGACTTTGCAAAACAGTAAATATTTCGCCTGATCTCCGCCGTGGCAAACTGAGTTTATCTTACCAGAAAACCCTCATGGAGCATTTAAGAAATGGAAAAACAACTACATATTTACATATATCTGGAATACTATCAATTTGCAAAGTAGGCAACCCCATACAGAGTTACCTTATTTGTAATGCTTAATACGGTTAAATTATAAAAAGTTTGGTATTGATCTGAAGAACTTGACTTTTTGGGTCTTTTAAAATCTAATTTTCATTCTCTTCTTTTGATTACCCTGTACTACTTGTTATCCAAATTTGGCATAAAATCTACAGAAGTAAGTCCTCGACTATAGGAAACCAGTTACTGATCATATTATGGCAGATGCATAAATATGACAAAAATTGTTATATGTGATTCATTAGCCTGCATCTGTCATTTGTTCTCAAGATTTCGAAAACAATTGCGACTCTGAAATAGGATGATATGCATAAAATGTATTCAGAATCTCCTGCAGAATCCTAAAATTGTAGGCTTTTCTCTCGTACACATTACCTCAGTCAATTTGAATTTGAACCTCACAGTATATTTCGTCTGTTGGATCTATCGAAATTGCTCAGTTAGTTTGGATTATATGGAGGAGAAATGTTTTTGCACACAATTAACCATAGCTATGAACTCTGACACGTACGTCACTGTTACAAATTTGTCATTATTAATTAAATCTACATGCTTCTGGCGGCGCGTAGCTGATCGAGTTTGAGTGCACTTACGCGGAGGTATCCAAGTGTTCCTGTCAAAAAATAACCTATTATTTTAACTGATTCAGGTAACATACCCCCTGAAAAAACCCAGCTAGACGTGCTGCAGCTAGTAGCGCGATACGCAGAGGGTGCGTCCTCGGTGGTGATGTACCATAAGTACGACCAACCAGAATTGAACCGCGGCTTCGTGTTCGTCGAGTTTCAGTCGCACCGCGCAGCCGCCATGGCGCGCAGGCAGTTCGCGCCAGAGAACCTGATCTGCTGGGGGCGCAAGCTGTACGTTGATTGGGCGGATCCGCTGCCGGAGGTGGATCCTGAAGTGCTGGCCAAGGTAAGTGACGAATCGGAACGTGAATGGAGGGGGAAGTACGGGGCAGGTCAGTACGACGAGTCGAGAGTGGGGGAAGAGGATAGTACCTATTTAAATTAATGCTTTGAATAGTTGTAAAAACTTCCATAAATCCATCAGATGTTAGATAAAGGAAGTGACAAGCTTTTTATTGGAGGATATGAAATATCACTTATAAATTAAGGATCTAGGTCCAGGGTATCTAATCTTTTCTAGGCAAACACACATACATCATTTCAGTGAAGTCATTCATTCTGATAGGATAATAATTTATTCACAACAAGGTTTGGACACCACACCACTGTACGAAGATACCAAATGACCAGCACCACATAAGTCAATCCTGTGTTGATGAACTGAAAAAAGTTCTATTTGAACCTGTTCTTTCATGATCTATGTAAATTAGAAATTTCAAAGTACTTTAAAGAATCAGTTGTTCTCAAAAAGTAACTGGTACCCAAAAAGCGGCTTAAAAAGTATACTTGTCTCCTTACAAACAAAAAAAATGGATTCAGTCAGTCAATACTTTTTCTACTATTCAGGTCACCGTGTTGTATCTAAGACATCTACCCTTGGACTACACTGCAGACGAGGTATATACCATGGTATGCAACATTGTGGGTTCCCAGATTCTCAAGAAAGTGCATAAAGCCAACAACTTTGCTTTTGTACATTTCTACGAAAGACGCGATGCCGAGTTTGCTTTGGAGAGATTACAATGTAATTATACAATAACAATTTTTAACTGTAATTATATCTCAACTATCAATATTTTCCATTTGTTGGTGCGGCGAAATACCGTAATATGAAAATGAGAAATACAAAAGATTCCTTGTCACCTTGTTGAAGACAATACATTCTAGTGTGTTCGGTACTGATTATCGAGCCTCATCAAAAGTGGGAAAGGAGCCTTTTGTCATTGATTAACGTATTCCACAAGAATGATGCCCAATTTATTGTGCTTGTGCTTAAAATAAGCAAACATATCGTGGCCCGCCAACAACTATACAGGGTGACGAGAAAATAGATGCGGAGCCGGTGGGGGGAGATAATACAAGCTAGAGTCGATTTTACTATAGGAACTAGGTACTGTCCGAAAATTAACCGTTTTCGAATTATACTAATTTCTAAGATTTCATAAAATTAACGGCCTTTATACGTTAACCAAGTCATAAAACTTGAAAATTGGGTGTTTCTTTTGATTTTTTTTTGTTTTACAATAAAGATATTCTAAAATACGAAAATTGATACTCAAATGTACATTATTGACGTTATTTCATGCAGTAAGCTTCAAAATAGTTCGATTTTTGTTAAAAAAATCTTCGTTCATCTCAAAAGCGTCAGTTTACTAGAAAAAGTCGCATACAAATTTTTCGTACAAAATAATTTGAAAACATCTACGTTTCATTCCTTTTCAAATGAGGTATAAAAATCACAAATCGATTAAGAATTGGCAAAAATATGACTATTATAAGAGGAGGAAGGAAAAAGCAATAAAAATACTACACTTACACATACCTCAATACAGGATAATTTGTTTGAAACTACATTTTTTTATTTTAATAATACATTTACAATATGGCGCAATCTATTTCTAATGCACACACGTGCTCTTCTTATGACAGCTGATTTTACTACCGCCAAATTCCTAAGAGAAACTTGAATTTCTTGTGCTGCGTGTATTATCCTGTTTCTGAGGTCATCTATTGTGGGTAGAGGATTTTGATCAGAGTATACTAAAGTTTTCATGCGACCCCACACAAAAAAGTCCATAGGTGTGAGACAGGGACTGCGTGCTGGCCATGGGATTGGTCCGCCTCTACCGATCCATCGATTCAGAAATAGATTCTTAAACGATTTGTGATTTTTATACCTCATTTGAAAGGTAATGAGACGTAGATGTTTTCTAATTATTTTGTACGAAAAATTTGTATGCGACTTTTTCTAGTAAACTGACGCTTTTGAGATGAACGAAGATTTTTTTAACAAGAATCGAACTATTTTGAAGCTTACTGCATGAGATAACGTCAATAATGTACATTTGAGTATCAATTTTCGTATATTGTAAAACCAAAAAAAAAAATCAAATGAAACACCCAATTTTCAAGTTTTATGACTTGGTTAACGTATAAAGGACGTTAATTTTATAAGATCTTAAAAATTAGTATAATTCGAAAACGGCTAATTTTCGGACAGTAGTTCCCATAGAAAAATCGATTCAGATTGGCTTGTACTATCTATCTCCCGTCACCCTGTATATTTAGGTACATGTCGATCACCGCGCTGGCGCAGGTGGTGGGATCTCCTTTTCACACGTTGAAAAATTTTGGGAATCAGTGTTGCCGTTTTGCCAGTAATTACACCATATTTGCACATTTTACTATTTGCCAGTAGGTATCCTATAAAGTAACATGGAACATGGTGCCGTACAACGCTGAGAGTCTGTCCTCTCTTTATTCTTACTTATTCGGTGATATGAGCATTTATCTGCTCTCTCCCTTTTCTCTTGGTGTCTCATGTTTCGTGCTTTGTGCCTTTGTGGTCATCGAACGGTTTTCTACCATGGTATATACTGTTTCTGTACCTTTATTTACTTATACACGAGTAAGTTCACTTCACGATTTTTTCAAGATGCAATTATTTTGCTAAATCCATCTCCATCATAGTATATATACCATGTCGATCTAGCAGAAACTGGTTGTGGTCTATATAATTACACAGTAAGTGCAGTCATGGTAGATCGGATTCTCACAGTAACAAAAACTAAAAAGGATATTTATTTTTTATTTCAAATTTTCAATTCTCACGCACCGTTGATGAAACGTCAATTCCCAGAACAACGTTAAGTCTTCAGTTGTGTTGTGGTTAGGATACTCCTAACCTTAATGACCATATTCTAGGCTTTCTTGGTTTGCTAGTAATAGGGTGTAGTACAAGCCAGTAATTGACCTCGGCGTTATGGCGACACTATTTAACCGAGGGTGAATTTTTGTTTTGGGTATTAGGGTATTGTTTGTGAATTCTGAATTCTTGATATTATATACTTCTTGATTAGAAGTAAAAGCCGTTTTTCTTTTATTTCACCCCTGCAGTGTGACTATATGTAGAATATAGCGCAAGTGAAAACTATGCGGCGGATGGTGCCATCTATTCCATTGGATTTGTACTATACCCGTCGATGAAGTAGTGTTGGAGGAGTCCGCTTGTTGAGCGGTGTTTTTCAGATCTTTGTACTTTTGTACCAGAAGTGGTCGCACCACCTTGTTCCGAACAAATACTGACGAAAAGAGCTGCAAAAGCGTAACCTTACTTGGTAGAAGTAATTGACTTCGCAGTGTTGCCAATCGGCCGAATAAGTTTCGATGTGCGGAACTTTTTCGAAACCTTTATTTTCAGCATTTTAAAAAAACTTGAACATTTCCTTATATTTACTGGAAGAAATTCCGCAGTTCCGTACAGATACCCTGACAGGGAACACTTTTGATTTGGAACTAAAACAGTTCAACTCCTGAGAATTCCCCCCTGTCTTCCTGTGTCGAGTTAAACGACTGTGACGGGTAATGTTCTAGTCAGCTGTTTTGTTGTACAATTAAGAAATAAAAAACCTATTCCCCAGTCGCAACTCAACATCTATTTTGATGTTTGTCTAATTATGCTGGTGGCAACAGGCGAACTGTAAATTAGTTTAACTGTTCCATTAATTTTCATGAAATATTTTAGGTTTTGTTGAAAAAAGTGGGATAGAGTAAGGGAATCATCTACAAAATATATCGCAGTAAAGATCAGAGGCAATTAGAAAAATCGGCCTGGTGATGGTGTCACATTTTTCCAAATAGGAGGACCTGAAGACCGTTTTTTTTTTTTTGTTCTTCGGTTTAGAATCTGCAGCAGTTTTGATACCCCCGGCGGTACTGCTAGGCTACGCCGATGAATCTTATGATTATGACCAGGCTTGAGGGGTGACCGTTCCTTGGAAGGTTGTAACAATGGAAGTTATTAAGTGAATTTCCAAATGGAGAATACGTTAATCAATGCTTTTATGTATTATGGAAAACACATGTTTTAATCTTCAAACATTTCAAAAGTGTTGCTCCATCTTGCGTGATGTTGACTGGATACATTTTTAATTTTGCCGTATTACTGGTTTCTTGGAAACAGCGACTAAAATCGCTTTCAATATATTTTCTAATTGTCACAGTGAAAAAACTTATCGAAAATTAATTTTTGTTAGATGTGTTCCGGCAAACTGCGGTAGCAATTGATGTGGAATGGGCTCGTCCCAGAGAGTACAGCAAGAAACACCGCCTGAACTCGACGCCGCAAAATTTCTGCCGGCAAGTATAAAAACATTTATTTCCAAGGTCATTAGTACTTCTTTTAACGACCGGGAGAAATTGCCCTGCATATTAATACTTTCCAGTTCACGGATGGGTACTGTATTGGGAAACTTTTGAATGTGGATGTATCATAAGCGGTCTGTGAAACGTCAATTTTTGAGGAAACAACTCAGAAAGTTGGTATGTTGTGCTCCGTGCACTGTAGCAAGTGGCTTAGAATCCGTCAGTGAACTGAATGTTATCAAAGCAGAGGTATAAAATAATTTGCCGGAATCCATTACTTATCGTTACTCCTCTCGCATACCAAAAAAATGGTCCATTTATTTGCTTTGATGATCATATTGAATTGAATAGAAGCCGCGTCCACTAGATTTGACACCCGTTGATTCTTTTTGTTTTCCAGTTCTGTGCCTCCTGCCTTGAGACGTCTGGTATATGAGCACGCCAACCAACACGCAAGGAGGTCTAGATACATTTCATTCAACACATATGTAGAAGAGGCTTCAACAACAACCAGCTCTATCAACAGCTATGGACCATATGTGGCTTCCCCCCAGCATGATAGCAGCGATGGACCATATGTGGCTTCCCCCCAGCATGATAGCAGCGATGTTGATGGGTCCTCAGAGAACTACTCATTATACAACTATGAGCCAGTTGAAGCAACTTATGTAAGTTTTTTATTTGAAAGCTTTCACACGAGAGGTCACTAAATAACGACTGCAGTAAACCATCATTATCATTGATTTGGCAGCGGAGTTTTCAATAAGCAAGATAATCAAAATAGGAAAACTTTGTTATAGTTGGCTGCCATACTCCCGATTATCTATGGATTAAGATTTTTAAATTGCGTTAATTTTTTGATTTTATCACTTATAGTGACATACAAAATACCCCATATCGACAAGTTATACACAAATATATAGACAGAGTCGTATTTTGTTTACAAATATGACAACTGAGCAGGCGCAGTAAAACAAAAATAAAACTTGGAATTAATAAAGTTGTGCCTGTCATTATTACAGGATGCTTAAAATCGTGGTACAGCGAAGACTATTTTCTTACTTTCTGTGCGAATAACCTTCCTTTTTTTACGGTAGTTTTTGCAGATAAAAGAATTTATACACGTAAAGTAGTTTTCTTTACTACTTTCTCGCTATTATTTTGTACTGTTCGTTGATTGTAAGTTTAATTGGTGTAAAGAAAATAATGGACTCTTAGCCATAACATTCAAATCAATCAATTCAGACTGATATTTACCTCCAACGAGTTGCACAACACGAAGTACAAAAACAATAGCAAAACTTTATAATTAATAAGGTTATTGGAATTAAATCAGTCTTGGTACAATTTTAGGCAAGATACAAGTTTAATTTATCCCAATATTTCTAGGTTAGAAATAGTGCACGGAAATACACCCAATAACTGAAATTCTAAAACAATGTTCAGATCAGTCTCTACTTGTAAGGTCGGCAGTATAGTGGATGGCAGTATTTCAATAACTCTATTGCTAACCAATTTTAATACAAATATGTCACTTCCTGCTGCTAATCACCTGTTTAGGAGGCGGATTAAAAACCTGTGAACTGTGTCAGGGTATGGAATTTGGTTGTTGGGGATTGAGGGTCATGAATTAACCTACCTATAATAAAAATAATTTTTATGCGTAAAAAGTCCATTTATACAGGATGTTTCTTAACTAGGGTATAGAACTTTAGAGGGTCATTTGTTCAGTCGTTTTAAGAAAAAAGTGTTCTTATGAACTTTCGGATGTTTTGTTTCTGAGATACGGGTCGTTAAAAAGTTGAAAAAAAAAGATATTTATAAAATATGATATATATCTTTAAACTGGTTTAGTAGTAATTTGTTGCAATTATTTGAAGTAGTATGGACAGCATAACATAAAAACAAAAAAATAAACAAATTTGACCTCAAAGTAAATATAGCAAAATGTCCACCTTCTGTTGAAATACACGACTGCAATCGATTTGTCATTGTCTGACAGTCTCAAAAACACCTGGAATATTCCTGATGGCACTGCAATTGGCAATTGTCCAATTTCGCAAATCAATCACATCTAGTACAGGAGTTTTATAAACAAGACCCTTCAGATGATCCCGTTAATAGAAATCTAGAGGATTACTATCAGAACTGTGAGCTGGTCAAATTTGAGTCCTGCACGTCCAATCCAGCGATGGCGGGGGAACATGATATCGAGATGGTGAATAGCAAAGACACTACTTAAATCAGCTGACGCCCCGTCGAATGAATATTTTGTGTTTCTAACAAACTTCCTTGTTTAAGTTGTTTACAATTTTTAATATGCTTGCGCATTCTAGCCACCAGTGGCACTATACCCATATTGCAGGTTAAACATTTTGCTTTTTAAAATATTTCCACACGTGATCCTTTCTCCTCCCCTGTCATTGCCTTTCTTTTTTTGCCGATCTTTAATGCACAAAACACACCACCACGCTACGACTTCGCACATTTGACTGCTGGAGATCGCAACTAGAAAAATTACCCAAAGGCATCGACGTCCGCACGGTAGTTTCCCGACAGTCTGCTTTTAATTTAGAGATGTGCTCCGATAGAGCTGGATCAAAATTAGTAGTAACTCTTTCAAGGAACCTCATTAACGTTGTTAGATTATATAGGCAATAGTTTTTTAATTTCTTTTACTGTTTTAAACATGTATTAATAGTGTTTTAAATATTTTTTTTTCAGCTAAATTTGAATGTTTTAAACAAAAACAAACAATTTTAAACAAAAAAAATATGATTTTTATTTTTATTTTTTTTCATTTTATGAATCAACCACCTGCAAAACATTAATCTTGGGTAAAATTCCCGAGGTATCACAACTTGACGCAGCTGTATGTGATACAAGTATAGTTTTTTTTTGGAACTTTCCAAACTGTTTTTGGGCTGACATCAAAAATAAAGTAATTGGCTTAGTTTTTTCACAATAATATGGCTATAGCGGCCACTGAGATGTCACTGGATCTAATAATTTCAATCTAGTCAAGGCTAATTCAACGCCTTATCAATTCAAATAATTGCACCAAATTTCAACGAATCGGTTTAAAGATAGATATATTTAATAAATGCCCTTTTTTTCTACTTCAATGCCCTGTATCTCAGAAACGAGACAATTCCCGAATCACGTTGATAGGAAATTTTTATTCTTAAACAACCTATGAAGATGAGCTAAGCGCTTTCTCGTGAGCCGCACAATGCGCAAGAGGGGAGGTGGGTGGACACAGAGTACAGATATTCAAATACAGTCCTAAAACTATTCGGAAGCACCAGCAACGAACCTACACATTGGACGTCGACGTCCAACGTTCGACGCTAACTCACCGTTGAAACAACGTGTGCTTCGGATTTCCATATAAAGTCCGCTATATAGGTCTCCCTTTCAAAAACCATATGATGTGTCCTCTACCGGAATACCCTCCAGATAACAAAGCGACATTAGGTCCTCCAAAATACTCAAATTAACTAAACATCAGTGGATAAGTAATCCGTGTAGTAGTGCCAAGTTTCTGTTATTTCTCTTTAGATAATACAATTGACGTCTCCTAACTCGGGCTTGTATTATTCTATTACCTTCCAAGTATCTCCATTTAGCAACATTAAGTACACTAATTACTCGATTTAGACTTTACAAAACATCGCTAGCATGCGAAAGAAGGTTGCCCAACTTGTTTGGTAAATTTGTTACTCATTCAAAAAATGCTTTGACTATGCCCTGAAATTATCGGAACATCTAGCAGCCCACAAAATCAAGGATACCTTCTTCTATCACATGTCCGAGAGGTTGTATGTACTACGGAGCACTTTGCTTTCCGTCTATCTCCGATAGCCTATGTTGTATCGACGACATCCTAACGGTGATAAATGGCGCTGTTTACGACTGGTTGGGTTGATAAAAAGCAAAAACTAAAAAACAAAGTTTTTGAGTTTCAAAATTTGTTAAAGAAAAACTGAACATGATAGAAAAGGTTCGGAGACCCCCCAACAAACATAAAAAAGAATCTATTATTTCCTATCATCCAGTTTCTATTGAAATCGGCGCAGGTGCTACTGGGCTTATGCGCTAATAAAATCGCCAACAGAAAGACCGATGGAAATGAAAAACATTTGCTTAACATATCTATCAACTTCATATCATGGACGCGAAAACATTAAACCGAAATACATTTTCAAAAGCTTTTTACAGAGGATTGTGTTTATAATGTACTTATTCAACTATAATTCTTGAATTTTAATCCACCAGTTTTGAGACAAGAGGCGGCGTGAGCTAATGGATTTATATCCGTGTGTATGCCCGCATTCATCTTTTACATTCCTGGAGTTTCATAATTGGTCAATTGTTCAACAAGCTATCAGGAACTTATGAATAAATAATTCCTATATGTTTCGGAGAAGAATGCATTTGTATCGCCGCAAGTCAGGTAGTCGGCGGGTCGTAAATTTCCTTTCAGGTCCCCCCAAGTGGATAAGGAATTTCAGCCTTCCTGGCGGAACGCATATGCACCCCAGCTGATGAAGTATCTTGAAATATGTTTCTCCACTGTAAATGCTTACCAACCTCTTTTTGCACTGATTATCAAAAAAGAAAGCCCTCGCTTTATTAAGGGTTGAAAGGTATATATTATAAACCTATTTTTACCGGGATCTTATCTAGGTATGAAACAAATACAAAGCTAAGCTTGCCTAGAAAACCAGTATATTAGGTATAGTTACATTTTAGCACTAGGGAAATTAACGAAGAAGCTAATTTCCAAAAGTAACGCAGGGAAAGTCAGCGATGTCCGTCGCTCTACTTCACAGTATTACGCCTCCAAATCGCCAAATTCCTTTTCCCTTTTAAAAGCTTGACTATCCACAGCTTACTTTTAAACTTAGCCATTTCCATTGCCACATTATGCTCTTTAAATTGTATGCGTTCATTCAACCAACTTTATTAAATGAAGTAAAAACTGACAAGGACTTGTCGTCAGGCCGGGAATAGAGATGACTCGCAAAGAATTCCTGTGATTAAATAAGCTCAAATGTATTGGTTTTTCGGTGACCCGATGTGACGTATCCGGATTTAATGAGTTCTGTGGCATATGGCTTTTTATATATTTCAATTGTTTGCATTTTTTCATAATTCTTGTGCAAGTTATAGGAATAATATACATTGTTTTTCGGAATTATCAATAACTTCTTGTACTTGACACAATTTGAGATGGAAAATCATAAAAACATTTAAACAAAGTTGGAGATCACTCCCAATACATTTTATGCAAGCTTTTAGTTATATTTTCGAATCGCACACCACATGCATTGTATCATTTGCGAGAGTAACACTCCTTATAAATTTGTATCCTTATTATGATTTTTAACTTGACGTCAAAACATACACCGAATGGCTGACGTATTGCAGATTCCAAGATCGCTGTATCGTTGAACTTATTTCTCTATCCTTCTTGTGGAAAATGGCGGTAGATATGCTGTTATCACGACATTCCCTAATATTTATGCTCAAACATTCTAACAATTGATGCAATATGTGTTATTCTAAATACCAGATTTGTTCCTTGCCAAATCTTTAAAAACACAAGTTGCTGTGTGCATGGAATCTCACTTTGTTTTAAATACTTTCATGATGATTATCATCCGAAGTTGCATAGAGAAGGTTAACAAGTTTGTATTTGATAATTCCAGCCTCAGTGAACACAGAGCACATTCCAATTAAGTAGATACGTACACCAGCCCGTCAAAACAAAACGACATTATTTGTGAACTGATTCAACGCATAGGGGAATCCTTCATAATACGACCTCGCACATTGGACACACTGCTACTAGTGTATGAGTTGGGAAGCCAAAACTTACAGGAATTTTTTGGACGAAACTTGTGTGTCTTGACGGGGGTTCCTTGTGAAGAAACAAAACATGGCATAGCCACTCGCTATACAGGAAAATGCTGCATCAATTAAAATGTCTTTTATTTTCAGATCCGTTCTTGCCAGAACCATTACAACTTCGCAGGCTATAGGAGTATGTAATTTTATTCTTTATTTTATATAGTAGAATTATTTTAGGTCAACGTATTTTTTTTTATAAATATATCCTTAATATATCCTCTTTATAGTATAGAATATAGTGTAGTATTAAATATATAAACATACAATATAAACATATAATAAATAAGTGTTTCATTTTACAATGCTACCGTACTAAAACTGAGTTTGAGCAAGAAATATCAAAAGAAGATGAAACGACTATACCTTGTGAGGGTAATTAGTAAGCTCAAGCAATGTTGCAGACCAAAAATGTTTAACTGAGATGTAGGATTTATCACCTTTATTGTTTTCAAATCTGTAAATTATTAAATTTTAAATTATCTGCTTGAATTTCATCACAACAAAGTCAAGGATCAACAAATCGAATTATTATCATTAACGTTTTCTGCCGATTTCGTTAATTGAATAATCCGAATGTCTTTTTTTGTGCCACGCACAATAATGCTGATAGCATACACAATGGGTAGTCCTTTCATATGGTGCATTACATACTCCTTCCAATATAAAAAATCGGACGTTACAGTCCTCACCTGCGAAATGTATAGCAAAAAAGGCTACAAATTATTTAAACAATAGGTAGCTCTGTAAGACGAACATCGGCCAATGTGGAAGAACCTGGCGGAAGTGTTAGAATTGCAGGTATTCAGCATGAGCATACCGACACTTAGGAAGAAGGTTGGTGCCAACTAGTTATTTCTTACCACTAATAAATCGTTAATACGTCAATCATTATTCTCAGGCATTCGTATAAATCTAATACATTTCGAAATTTTTGATCCCTTGAGATATTTATACAGGGTGTTTTATTGGGAGAAGGAAATATTGTAATCGAGGATAGGTGCCACTAAGGGGATTCCAGATATACGATTGATGAGCCTTTAGCCTCTTATAACAAATTCTAACCATTTCTTCATAGCATTATAGCTCTTTAACAACCGTGTATATTTTTTTAAACTCGGTATGTACTCGAATATATAGAGTCATTGAGAGTTTATCCGTTCTATACCAAAACGACAGCCTAAATATTATAATTTCTATTGGAGTTGGAATGTTGTTAAGCCATAAATAGCCAAAATCGAGTTTTTCTATACACGTATCGAGGCAGTCCTATCCAATGGATTGTGAATAGAAAACATTACAGGTCCAAACTAATTAAAATTGATAATGTTCTACCAGAAAAAAAAACAAGCCATACCATGATTCATTCAAATCAAACTAATGTTGTCATTTACATTGCTTCGAAAGTTCCGGCTCTATATTTGATAGATTTACTCAATATTTATGTGGATACGCAACCGCCAATTTTTAGTTAAATCTTCAACAGGTACCTCTGGAGGGAATTTTTTATTGATCTATATCTAGATGATCGATAAAATAATCTCATAATGTGAGGGATATAGTTTTCAATAGAAAGTAATATAATTAAGAAACTCTCAAGGCTAGCGCGTTGTACTCCAATACAGTATTTCTTACTCATGTAAAATCGGCTGCGCAATGAAACAAGTTTTTTAAAAATATCGGGTAGAACGGGATTGTAATTTTCAATGATCCTGGACCTGTATTTATATTTCTTTTGGTTACTACAATCGTTTCGATGGGATAATCCGAGTTCGCGCACCAATTTTCAAAAAACAAAATACAAGATGGTTGAGAAGTCAAGTAGTCAAAGTATCGATAAAACACTTCATAAGGAGGCTATAAAGAAATACCCATCAGTCACGTTATTTAGTATAGTAGTAGTAGTCAGTAGCCGGTATCCACGTTTAACATATTTCACTCTTCAAATAAAACACGGTCGGAAAATACAGCAAACAGTAAATGAGATTAAAAAAAGTGGCGTGAAATACTGACTTTGCACTTTCCTCGCTACACCGTTATCGGTTCATAAAGAATTATATTCAGCACAAACTTGACCATCAGAGAATAAATTCAGTCAAACAGGCCTACACGGATAGTCAATAGACGTCTTGTAGGAAAAACTACATAATGACGAAAGAAACCGACTAAAAGAAGCGGCTTAATGTCACTTATCAAGTCATGCTATGGTGCAGCAGCATAGTTTGTGGCAGTAATACCAAGACCGATACCAGTCGCAGATGCGGCTGTTAGGTACGCGATCCGTCTGCTGAGAATATTTTTAAGGGTCAATGTACGGGGAAAACTAATTCGTTGAATTATCAAGGTTGGGAACGTAAAAATATACATACATGAAAAAATTGTTTTTTTGACCCATAAAAACTTCAAAAATAACCAAGATCGTCTGAAACGTCAAAAAAACGAAGTTTTGGCGATATTTTTTTTTCGTTTTTGGCTAGTCGACCGATTTTCAAAAACTACAAGTTTTTCGTCCTTGGCATAGTAAAGGGTGGGCCATCAGTTGTTTTTTTAAATTGGTGTTATTTTGACAGTTGGTCAACATATTGACAGATATATTGTGTCAAACTTCCGCTGTGAGCAACGGATCGTTTTAATCTTGAACAAAGGAGGAAAATATTGAAAAACTATTTTCAAAGTGAGTGCTGTGTTGCAGAAACTTTGCGAAAATGGAGAAGACTATTTGGTCAGAATGAAGCTCCGTCCGCGACTGCTATACGAAAATTCGTGAAGAAGGTTCGTGAAACTGGCCTGCTTGTAGATAACAGAAGGACTGGTATGAGGCGTGTTCGACCCGTACGTACAGCCGAAAACATTGCTGCTGTTGCCCAGAGTGTGCAGTGTGCGTGAAAACGCAAGAATGTCAACTCGTCACAGAGCACTACAAGTGGGCATCAGTCGCACTTCTGTGCGGAGAATATTGCATAACGACCGGGATTGTTTCCTTGCAAGGTGCAACAGTTGAAACACAATGACCATCCGCTTCGATATCGTTTCTCTGTGTGGGCTCTAAATTAATTGGAAACGGACGTCAATTTTGGCCGCCAAACCATCTTTTCGGACGAAGCCCTTTTCCATCTGGGAGATTACGTTAACAAGCAGAACTGAAGGATGTGGGGTTCTGAAAATCCATATGTCATAGAAAAACCAATGCATCCAAAAAGAGTAAGTGTTTGGTGTGGCTTTTGGAGTGGTGGGATTATTGGCCCTTACTTTTTCAAGATGAAGATGGTAACAGCGTGATTTTTTTGTGGCCACTATTAGACGACATGCACTTCCACAATCTGTGGTTCCAGCACGATGGCGCAACATGCCACACCAGCCGTGAAACAATCGATCTTTTACACACTAAATTCGGTCATCGGGTTATCAGCCGTTTTGGAGACCTTCATTGGCCAGCCCGCAGCTGTGACTTGACGCCCATGGATTACTTCCTATGCGGTAAGGACCGCTGTTACACTAACGATCCTCAAACAATTGATGTTGTTAAGGAAAATATCCATCGAGCTTGTGCGCTATGTGCTTCAAAATTGGGTTACGAGGATGGACTACTGCTAGGCCAGCCGCGGCAGCCATTTAACTGAAATTGTTTTTCATAAATAATCGGAAGGTGTATGGTGTATTCTTTTGAATAAAGTATCGAGTGTTACATATATAGTTTTAATACCAATTTAAAAAAGAAACCAACAGTTGTCCCACCCTTTATAACTAACATTCTGTAAAATTTCATCAAAATCCGAACGGTACTTTCTCAAAAGATATAGACGCGGTTATAGTATTAGCGAACGGACCGACAGACATGAGGAAATGCGTGCCATGGTTTTTCGTGATGTCCCTATTATATAGCATCCAGAAAACAATATCTCATTTTCGAAAAATTTCTCGATTACGATACTTCCCCGCCACTAGATTGGGAGGTAAAAATATAAAAAATAAAGCTGGCAACGGACGGTGAGCGATAATATAATATACGTATATTATATCCTGCATATTACAGAAACATCGCTCCATGTGTAAACCTATTGAGATGCCACGCACGGACGCTATAAGATATACAAGGTGGCGCATCGAAAACGAAACAGACGCAATTACTGGCGGCTCAGTTTTTTTAAACGCTCAGACCCGTCGACTTTGTATTCGAGACGAACACAAGTTTGGCAAAAAATCACATTAGCACGTGCAGCCCCCTAAGCGAGGGTGACACCACCCCCAAGATCTTAAATGGAAAGGGGGTCGAGTAATACCTTATTTTAAAGGTCTTCAATTCCCTTTATAATGATATAAAATTAATGTACTTCAGTTTAGTAGTTTTGAAGATTTATTGATTTAAAGCTTAAATAAAACTAATGCATCATCATTAGTGGAGATCAATACATTTGGCAGCAAAGTAATTTAAAAATGAAGAATGAACAGACCCGTTAGGCAAGTAAATGTTGAAAATGGTCACCATGACTGTCCATGCAATAATAAAGATTTTGGTCAAAACGTTGCCGCACATTTTGCAATATTTGAGGAGTAATTTGAAGGCACTAATTCACAATTCTTTGTCGCAGGTCTTCTAATGATGTTGGCCGAGTAGCATAGATTTTGCTTTTTAAATGACCCCACATAAAGAAATCCAAAGGTGATAAATCTAACGATCTTGGGGGCCATTCAATGGCACCTACCTCTTCTACCAATCCATCGATCTGGAAACGTGTGATCTAAATATTGTCGAACACGTAATGCGTAATGTGGTGGGGCACCAACCTGTTGGAATATCAACCTATTCGCAATGTACCGCCGATCATTCTGATTTTCAATTATGGCTGTTAATGCAGGATCTATGGCGTCTTCCAGTAATTCCAAATACATTTCACCGGTCAAATTTCCAGGTAAGAAAAAAGGACCAACTAAATTGGTGCGGGAGGTAAAAATAAAAAGTAGGCTTTGAAAATAGTTACTAGAAGCAATCTTTTTTTAAGAAGCTAGCAAACAAATAGAACAAACATTTAAACTTTACGCACCTTTGACAACTTTTATTTAAAGATATAGCATCCACCATCTTCTTTTTCGACGTTCAAGCTTTTTTCTGATAACCAAGAACAGCACATAATTATGGAAACTGCAGCAACAGCTACGTCCACGCCTATGTCTATTTTAAAACTATAATCGACGCTTTGCAGAACATTTGTTATATCCCGAAATACGAAGTGGTATGGGAAGTCAA